GCTAGAGAATTTCCCCCAGCACATCTTGAGGAAACAGATGCAGTTCAGCCTCTAAACAAGTAGCTACAGAGCGGCTCAATAAAAATGTGCTATTTTCTACAGAAACCTGATAGAAAAGACATTTTCTGTGCTGACGAAATAGAGAAATAGGCACTGAAGTGAAGCATGATATAATAAATATATTTTTAATATTAAACAATATTTGAAAATAATAGCTTACAGAACACTCTTTGATTGCATTTTTCTTTTCAGTACTGGATTGCTGGAAAGGAAAACGGTTTCCAATTGCTGTCCCAAAGCTGTGGCCATAAAAATAAAGTTTATTGTAAAATATTCTATTTCTATTTCTCTTATTGTTTCAGGTTGTGTCATTACAGTTACTTATATGCAATACATAAATACCTTCTTTACACTAAGATACTTTTAATTCTCTTCCTTCAGAAATCTCTTTCCCCCTCCTTTCTCCCCTGAACACAGGGCATTACTGCATGAAGAGGGGCAGATTTTGGTATCTCCTATGACAGCTGCAGGTTTTAACACTGGAGACTCTTTGAGGGGGAGGCGGTGAGCAGTCTTTCTGCTCTGTGCTGCCAAAACCTCACATGTTTATTATTAAAGAAAAATGGATTTGAAAACAGTCATGACTAGAAAGATGAAACGCCTCTCTTGCTCCTTCCGCTTCTCCCAGCACTACCTCCACCAAGTCCCCAGCACACTCTATGGCTCCCTTTTCCCTCCTCTTAAGTTGCCACCTGTAGTTTTAAGCTAAAAACATTCATACTCCTATGAATAAGTCCAGGCCAACCACTAAAAGGACCATTTGCCCACACACCATTGCAGTTACCTCCTAATGTCTGCCCTAGAAAGTTTGATCTGCACGGTTTGCTTTGCTAGGTCCAGCCTTCAATATCACTGGAATGGAGAGGGCATAAGCAAGAGGTGAAGAGTCCCACAGGCAGGTTTCCAGCCACAGCACTGGAAGACATTGATAACCATCATAGGTAGGTGTTTCCATGTTGGCAAGGAGCTAGTTTTTCTTGAGGCAATTTTGCTCAGGTTACATAGAGGATTCCCCTCAAGATGAGTCAGAAAACTGCAGAAAAGTTTGTTGGAAGGGACCTCTAGAAGTCATACATCCTCATCCTCCTTGATGTAGGACTATTGCCAACAACAGGTAAGGTCAGCTGGGATCTTATCTAGCCAAGTCCCGAAACCCAAGATGGCAGAGCACGCCATCTCTGCACACCTCATTCCCATGTAGCATGAACTGCCTAGAAAGCTTTTACAAATCTCTGGTCTGAACCTGCCAAGCCACACTCCATGACTCTTGCCCCACATGCCATCTGCCACAAGCAGGAAGAGTTTGGCTCCTTCATCCCACAGTCCCTACAAAAAGTCGGGGTGGGTTTACATGCAAACTGATGCTATTAAAGGTGGATGAGCCTTAAAGAGATTAATCTGTTAACTGAAAACAAACCTTTTTATTTCCAGAATAAATGAATTCTAACTCTTCTTCAGCCCAAGTCTTCAAGGACACCTTTCACTATAACAGAAGTATTCATAAAAACAGAATACAGGAATCTCCACTACATCCCACCCTTCCAAATCTTTGCAAAACCTTACAGATAGAGTTAGAAGACTTTACAGTGTTTTCGTCATCACCCACGTTCAAACAGTCCTACTCTACCCTCTTCCCCAGCTCCACAGTGGAGGGTTTCAACTTTCCCAGCAGCATCATTTCCACATGCAGCAGCACCTCAACAACAGGAAATAACGAGGCAAACCCAATCATATCTGGTCAGAACAACAGTGAAGCAGATTTGCTTGGTTTGAGCACTTCGCATAAATGGCTATATATTACACTGTTTCCTAGACTGCATGTTAACATCCTGGGCTATTTGTTATTTATCAAAGTGCAGTGCTCCCAATTTGAGGGCACACGAGTAAGTTTTCGGAAGAGAAGGAGGATCCCAAGAAAAGCAAAATCAGAGCACACCTGGTTAGCTCTGGCCAGCACGGGCTGATTCTCCTGTTAGCCATTTGGTATGCAGGTTTGTTAACCTCAAAGCTGGGTGCAATCTTTTAATTTTAGTGATTCAAACACATCCCAAGGGAACTCTAAATTGGAGTAGCTTGTGGTTCCTGAGCTCACAAGATTGACCTCGGCAAGCAATTCTCTTGATGATATGTAATCTGAGCTAACTTCCTATGCACACAAATGGCTCTAACCAGCACACGTTTGAAAGCATATTATATATAGTGGACAAAACTATACTTTACAATATATAGTTCTCTGCACAGCTTTTGGCTCTTAAAACACTACAAATTCATGACAGCAGGTAAAAACAGCCAGACCAAGTTGCTCCATCTGGCAGAGAGCCTTGTATGCGACCATGTCTAAAAGGAAGAGGCCTATGGAAGAACAGGCAAGCACAGTGTTATTATGCTGATATATTTCTGCAGCTTCCAGCATTCATATTTGCCATTTCTGTACCATGTAAACTCTCGGCATTTATCCCCAAGAGTAAAAGCCACGTATTAATCACATGCTTCATGAAAACAAACTTCCTTGTTTGTTCTTTTCATTGCTCTGAATAATTTAGTATGATTCGCAAAAATCACCTTGCTATTCATTTCTAGCAGATTATTTCCCTGATCATTTATGAATATGCTGAATACCACTGGCCCCAGCACAAGCACTTGTGGAGTTTTCTACATCTGGAAAACAAACTATTCACTCCTCTCTGTTGACTACTTTTAATTAGGTAGCAATGCTCAGGCACCAATCCTTTCAAACCTGGGCGACTTACTTTCTTTGTGAACCTTTGGTAAGAAATCTTAATAAAAGTCTTTTGCAAGCCCAGGTAGATGATTTTAACCGGATCACCCTATCCACATGTCCAGTGACATCTTCAAAGACCTGCAGTAGGTCTGAGAGACAGCACTTACTGCTGCCATCCCACAAACAGCCTATGTATTTCAATCCAATGCATCTGTGTGTCATTCATTGCATTCTTTCCAGTGAGTCCACCAAATGTAGTCAGACATGATTATTTAGACAAAGACGTTGCCATAATCTTGGTAACAATGAAGTCAATTGTTTAGTGCAGAGAATAATGAGTCACCTTTTTTCTCTTTCTACAAAAAAAAAACCAAACCAAAACAAAAAACCCACTGCTTTATACACAGACTTAGCAGAAACAGGAATGATGTGGAAGTGGAAAATACTGACAGGATTCTTTAGCACAAAACACACAGGGCTGGAAAAATTAACATATTCTTCAAGACAGGCACTTCCCTAACATCAGAGTCCATAGCATGTTCTTGTAGTTTTACATGCAATAATGAAAAAAGAAAATATCTGTTTTCTTTAGAGATATCCACTGTGTTGTTTCTTAATAACTGAAGCTTACACAGCCCTTTAGCTGACGAAAACCCATTTTGTGCAGACTTGATGGATTTGGCGACATCCTGTTTATTTCAAAGAGGACTTCAGAGTGTCACTGGAGAAAGATTTGAGACCATTTGTTCAACATTTTGCTATACAAACGTAGAAACTGTATTTGAATATTCTAAGCTTTTTTGACAGTTGCGGCCTTTAAATTGCCAAGATAACATAAGTAACAGCCATAAAAATAAACAGTCTACTGCTCCAATCGTGAATACAGCTCTTACTGCTGTGATTGTTATACACTGACTGTCAACTTTTTAGGACTTGTCCCTTGCTTTTTAATGGTTATTCCTCAACTGCAGGACAAAATCCCTCACCGGCTTCCCTAGTTCGCACAGATACATCTCCAGCTCCCAACAGATTTTGCTCACCATGAAGATGGAGCAAAAGGTCAAAAATCCAGACTAATCGCAGTCAAAGCTTGGACTCCGCAACCTGAGACCTAACCTTCCTCCCAGCCAACCCCCCAGAACATTCCTGTGGACTTCAGTCGTGTCTGGAGAAGCCCGTAACTTCTCAGACTTGACTCTGGTTCAATTTCATCTCCAAGTACAGTTACAGCATGCTGTAGATGTGTGTCTAAAATAGTGTATAAAATGTGTATATAACTCCTGAGTATTAGTATGCTTTTTTTCTTTTTTTTTCTTTTAAAGCAGGGGAGTCTCTTCCCCTCTCTTTCCTGACCTGAAAGCAAAGCATTTCACAGAAAGCATCTCCATCAAACAACAAAACATCTGGCACACAATTAAATGACTTGCATCAGCACTTCTATCTCTAAAAATGTGCTAAAAATGCTAAAGAAAAGGAAATACAAATGATGTGAAAAGTTAACCTTTAGCCTGATTTATCTCAAACTTCAATAACTATATCCTGGCAAAACAATAGGCATTTTCCTAGGATCATCTCCTTATGGGACAGAACATGAACTTCACTTCTGGTCTATTTGATGGGGTTTATTATCCCAGAAGAAAGTGAAATCAGGATCCCTCCCCAAGTTACTAACAAAAAGTATCTGACAATGGAGAGCAAGTATTTCAAGACAGCTAGTAAAACTACGCAAGTTCAGAAACAGAAAAACATAATTTGAAGATAATTTTCCCTGTTCTGAGGGGGTATTTTAACCTTCCATATGACATATTTTCTGAACAAAACTACTTTTCTGTGTGCAGTTTTAGTCCTACCATGTCATAAACAGTACTTTATTGTCTTTGAAAAATGACATGGTCCACATTGTACTTGATTTGGGCATGCAGCTTTACTTTCCCCTCTCCGACCATGCTATTTTTTTTCCTCCAGTTTTGTCTACTGTGATTGGAAAGGTGGAGGTGTCTTGCCCTGTATGTGCATAGAGCCCACCACCACTGGAATTCACATTCTGTGTACATCTCAAGACCTTTTTGCACTAAAGCTGATATCATTGTCATCATCCTTCTAGTCTGGATACAAAACATCTGTGTTTGTATTTTGATTTTTCAATGCCATCTTACATCAAATGAACGGCATAGCAGAGTGTAAGAAAGGTAAAGGAAAAACAAGTTCACTTACTCACCTGGACAGCAATAATTTACCCTGAAGTTTCAAGTCAGCAGCACAGTCATCAGATTGACAGTTCCTCTCAAAAACAGTCTGTGAAAAAGAGAGAAAAAGAACTGTTATAGCATGAAAAGAGTAAAATCAAAATTCAAAGGAAGAACATACTCGGATAAAAAAAAACAAACCAAACCACACCACCAAAATCTGTGACACAGGAAGATGCAGTGTGTTAAGGAAATTCAAGGGCAGGCACATCTCATCTTTATCAGCACTGTTTTTATTCTCGTCTAACTGAACAAGAAGTTTCACCAAAACCAGACTCTCAGAGGTTTTCCTCAATCCATTCTCTCTTCTCATCTGTCAAGAATTACTGCTCACACAATACTTCTGGTGCTCTTATTTCTCTTCCCAACACATGTGCATGAAAGTGAAACAGAAAAGAAAGTATTTATGAAACTATTTTCAGTCCTAAGAATTGCAAGTAAGAAAATTGTGCATCAAACATATTCACTAGCCTATATATTAAAGATAAGGTACTAAACAATTAATTTGTTTGTTTGTTTGTTTGTTTTGTTAAATGTTTTGTGTAAGGTAGGAAACACTTCCTGCAAGCAACAGAAAATTACAAAGGCTGTTATGTACCAGTGATAACCACAATTAATGGAACCACTGTCCATCTTTGTGAACTCTGGTAAAGACTGTCATTTGGGAAATTGAATAGATTCATAAAACTAGGAACTGTGAAAGGACAACATACCACTAGAGACACAGGCATGCTATTTTAGCAGCAAAAAGAAGGGAAACACATGAGAAATCTAGGAGCCTATGCAAATCTCGCTCGTGGCTTGCCATAGCTAAATGAGGCAGCCACCAGTGAGTGAAAGAAGAGGACAGGAACATGTTCCTGGCCTCCAAGAAACCTAAATGGTATCAAGATCACGGTTACTTTCCCCTGCTGTTGAGAACAGAGACCAATGCCTTTCTGAACAGATGACTAGACTTCTCAGGCTTGAGGATTCAGTCTTTCAGAGTTTTAATGCCCTTCAGCTTCCCAACTTTTCAAAGGACAAATACCCAAAATAAGGGTTGCCAACACTGTTCAGTCAGGAAACCTGACACTTCACTGGTCTCTTTCTTTAATATGAATATTCCTTTCTACATGCTTGGCTCCATGACTTTTATCACCAAAGTAAATATATTTTAATCTTAAATGCAAAGATAGGGCAAGGGACTGTGCAGGACACAGATAGGGTTAGATAGGGTTGGAGAGACTTAGGGGGTGGAAGAGTTTACAAATTTTTAGAGCTCTGCTCAACTACATCAGCATTGGAGAAAGACTTTGACTCTTAAGCCCAGAGGGCATAGAGATTTCTCGTCCTTGTCTCTCCAGGAAGACCCTTGGTTTAGGAGGCAGCTTGCTCTCCTTTTTCTCTATTGTCAGAGCTCTCCAAAAAGGAGTGGACCTTTATGAATTTAATTGGTGCTGGACTGGCAGGTATCAAACTATGCTGTCAGTTGTACTAAGTCGCAAACTCAAGAAAAAAGGGAGGCAGTGAGTCCACTGGGGATTATTTACTTTGCCCTTTCATTTTCCTTTCACAGAATCTCAGAAGTGGAAATTGTTGAGGATTTAAATGAACTTACCCTTCCTCCTTAATAAAGGCTACCAAACCAAAGAACAAGAATAGCCCTGAGACAGGAGCCAGCACAAGGCATCCCGCTCAAAACATGGCATGTTTTAGAGCTATAGTCTCAAAAGTCCTCAGAATTAATCCTCAACCACAGTAGTAGCTATATATAGGAAAGATTGTTTGACCTCCAGGGGAGAAAGAAAAATAAACTGTAAAAAGATTATTGTCTGACAGTTTCCCTATTTGCATTGCAGAAATCTTGGCAAAGTGAACAGAGTGATCAAAGATATGACCTGCATGATTCAAAGAATAAAGTACTGTAAGTACATTTAAGTAGCTACCTAATATTCCTGGAATTTTCTCACTAAATCTACAGTTGCCACTCTTCAGAAAGAATGAACAAATACCTTGTTTTCTAAAACTACTGAGTGTGTATCTCTTCCAACATATCATGCACTAGCAGCAAGCTACATTGGGAGTATTTCGTTATGCCATAGAAACCCAAGGTCCTACAGGACTGGGATGGGAGAAAGAAATATGGACCCGAGCCTCCAGATCCACAACTGTGTAGGAGCAAACCTGTTACTTCTGTGGAGGATCTTGAACCCATTCAGGTTTGGGGGGAAAAAGATTTCCAGTCCAGCCAGCTGCTACAATCCATTGATGCAGCCACATCTGGTTCAGCAGCCCACTTCTATCACATCTGTGTATTATTTTGCTATTTTCTGCTATTTCCCTGGTCTGATAGATGTTGCCATGACTCTACTCCACCTCCCCTTTTTGTGTGCCTGCTAGAGACTCAATCCCGTAGCTTCTAACAGTCAATCTACTTCCTCCATTTTATTCTCTGCTATCTTGGGCCTCCCCTTCCCCAGCCTGTTGCTTCTTCTACCTTTCCACTTGACTAATCCCTGCCTGTTCAAATCCCTGTTAAAGAATTCAACACACTGTAAGTCGTCATAACACTTGTGAACACTGCTTATATATTCTATTACTGTGCCCTTGGTCTACTTGGGCTGTGATTTCTTTGGGCCAGAAACTGTACCCAACTCAACGCTGCATGCTGTTAGAGCAGGAGCCTATTCCTGGAACATGGACCGGTTCTACTACAACATAATGACTAATTTTAACTCTAAGCAGTCTTTAAAGTGGTTTCAGCTTTACAATCCCAGTTTTAGGAATTTATAGAGCTCTTTACATATTGGAAATGTTGAAGAAGATAACCAATGGGCTCTATGTATTATCCAGAGCTGGAAAAGGGGAAGTAGGACAAAATAAATTCATTGCACTGTGGAAACACCTCATAATTTTGGCAGTTACTGTTACCCAAAGTGAAGAGGAGCAATTCTGAGCAGTGGTTTTACTGAAGTTCAATTGATCCTTACTGGATTCCACTTATATTGTACCAAGTACCTCACAGCATTGAGTATGTGTATCAGAGATGGTCAGGAAATTTCTTTACATAAGAAATATATAGAAGAAAAATTACAAGTTGGGGAGAAGGAGCAAAAGTGGTCCTCAACGAGAAACACAGCTGCATCTTCTATCTCAAGGGCACGACACTTTTGCCTGGCATTTCCAGGAGAGAAATAAATGTTTGTGTGCTCAGCAGCACACAGGATAACCTCAATGTTTCAAGGACACATCTTTACTGTGGCAAACACACAGCTAATGTAAAGTGCATGCACAGTGAGTCTCTCAGACTTCCTGCAATCACCAGATCTACAGCAAAGCCCAGAGAAAATTTAGTGTTTCCAGGGTCCACAGTTCCTCTCTGTGCTCCCCCTCCTGCACAGACCTATGGCTCCATAGCAGCTCCCACCAGGCCATCCTGGGAAAGCACAGTTTTCACAAATTCTGCAATCTTTCTGGGTAGAAAAGATGATGTTTCTTAGGAAGCCAAGGAATTAAAGGTTAGTGGAGATGGATGTTGCCCATCTCCTCCAGAGGTTAACTCAAAAAGCCTGCATTAAGACATACTCCTCATAAAGAGTGGACACATCTGTATGCAACTAACATGCACAGTCAGGAGAGACCAGAGCCAGCTGATAAGGAAGAGAATGTGGCCAACAGGCACTCAGATCAGGGCTTAAAAGCAAGTACTTTTGCATCCACTTTGCCTCTTCAAGAGAGGTAGTGGATTAAATTCCATATTGCAGGATAAAGGCCAGGGGCAAATGTACAGTCCTCTTTTGCAGGAAGGAGGATGAATGCCTAGTTCCTCTGTCCTAAGGCATGCTAAACACAAAGCTGCCTCATACTGAGGGTGAAGATATTCTCCTTTTCCTTACTGCTGATGGTAGTTTGCTAAGGAATGCTTCTAGGATATAAAACAAGCAAGAAGGAGCCTGGTTTCAGCCTAATGGTCACAGCTCAGAGGAAGGCTACCTGTGATTTCAAACCTGTCTCGCTAAATGGCTTCACCTTCTTTCAAGGGCCATCTAAAATTAATCACATTTATGTTTCTGGGAGCAGGAAAGGTAACAGGAAACAGAGAAAACAAAAAAACCTTTGTGTTTATGGGACTCCTGCCCACAGAAAATACTGGAAATCATCCAAGAAACAAATTAAAAAAAAAAGTATTTCAAGACATTAAAACTCCCAAAATTCAGGGAAGCACACAAATTTCAGGTTGTAGCCAAAATGTGCAATCAAGACTTTGTGAGGTTGCCAGTACTGTGTTCCAGTAAGAGTTGTCCATTCTTTCACAGAAAAGAAAAAGTGACAGCTAAAGGACAATGTCTGAAGAGAAGGCGGAGAAACAGGATTCTCAAAAGAAGCCTTGAAAGCATTTCATTTTATGCTCTGGATAAGAGAACAGTGATTCACTCTGGATCAGGTGTTTAACTACTTCCTCACACATCAGACCACAAACAGTTAACAGTGCACCCCTTAAAAAGTGGCAGAGCTGGCCTCCAGGAATCAAGGATCCATTCCTTTAACTTCATAAACTGTGCTATGTACTTCAGCAGGATAACTTGGGTTATGCAAAATAATCTGGGTTCAGAATACAGTATTCCAATCTCTACACTGACTTCCTGTAAATTGTCACCATACCCTATGTTATGTGCAGGGATGACTTAGCAATTAGATCACGCTAGTAACACAAAAAGCACTTCTATTTAAAGGATGTAGGATAACGTGGTTTGTTAGTATAGTAATTCTTTACTTCTTAGATCTTGACGCTATGTGGCTATTACCATGTTATCTGTCCTTACTTAGGGACTAGGATATACGATCCAATTTTCAAAAGTACTGAGTTATAAGCAAATCTCACCACCTTTTCTAGGAACCATTGCCTGGTTTATAGCTTTACAAATCAATCACTTAGACATTAATGTGCCTAAACAGAGAATCATAGAATCATTTAAAGATGGAAAAGACCCATATAGATACAGGAGTTTGATTTTAGACCTCTATTTATTTTGTCTTTAAATTTTTTATTTGCCTGCAAAATAAAGC